ATCACAGGAAGGAGAATATCTTGATATTTTAAAACCAATGAAGTGAGAATTGGGTCCAGAGAGCACGATTTTTTACCTGATATCAAATCTTTTACATTTTCTTCATTCAAGATATCAAAGGAATCAACAACGAGGAATCAAATCGGGACGTCAGTGTCAGTTCAGTAAATTCTGGGACAGACGAGTGGTTTGTTTAACCTTCGATTAATTAACCGTGGTTTATTCATGCAGTCTAACTTGGGGGGGGGGGCAATAATTTTGCCATGGGGCCCCGGCCCGGTCCCCTCTAGCTACGTCAAATAACAGACCTTTCCCCTTATAACCAAAATTTTGATCTAGGCAAGTCTAGACAAATATTTCATCACAGCTTGAAAGAGCATCACAAAATTAGTAATATTCCAAAGTTTCGTTGCGAAATGATGTAAAATGAGGAAAATAGAGCCTTGCGAAATTTGCAATTTTCAGTCATTTTGCATTACAAACGGGAAATTGCAGCCCCAACACCCGAATCGGATGTCAATTTCCCGTTTGTAATACAAAATGACTGAAAAACGGCAAACTTCGCAAGGCTATATTGAGGGTCCTGAAGGGGTAAAATGGGAACTGGGATTGATCTATTTTTAGACTGGGAAAATGGGATTTGGGTTGCTGGGACTGGGATTTGGCCACTGGGAATGGGAAATGAAGTCCTCAAAAATGGGAATGGGATTGAGGTAATGCGAGTCGATTCCCAATTTTTCTGCGTTTTGAGTATTTTAAAATACAATTTTGATCCGTTTTTGGTGTCTTTGGTCATGATTTTTGTTGTTAACTATATTATTCACAGCGCTACCTGCGAACAGGCATACTCTGGCGCCCGCAATTCTGGGTTTTCTGATTATGCGTGTCTCAGAATGCTGCAAATGCCATTTCCGGGATTCAAATTTAAAAATTTTCCGTGCTTTCGGCACGAGCACCCCCCTAATATTTCATAAAGTGTCCGCCACTTGCTTAAAAGGTCTTAAAACTGTTTATTCTACCAATAAATAAAGGGGTTTTTATTGACTGGGATTTCAATAACTGGGACTGGGATTTCTAATAAAAATCCAACTGGGACTGGGATTTTGCCAAAATTTCAGGTGGGAAATGGGATTAGGACCCCCCCCCCTTCAGGACCCTCT